AGTCAAAAGGTTTAGTGCTGTCGTTCGACATGGGTTTGAATTCTTTAAGAAAATAAAATTTTTCGTGAAAAATTACTACCGGAAGTTTTACGTCATAAAATATAAATATTTGAACCTGAAATATGAATATTTGAATATACTCCAATGAGGAAGTACTGCCATGTTTAATATTAAAACCAAAGAAAAATTACGTAAAAAAAAAAATTTCATTACGATCAATCAAGTTGAAACTTGTCAATTTTATGTATTTACCAAAAAAAAAAATTTACCAGTTAATTAATTAATTAATTATTCTTTTTTTACGTGTTTGTTGTTGTTTGTACAACAGCCAAACATTTTTTTCCGTTTCGTTTTTGTAATGTCTAATTAAAAAAAAAAAAGTTTTTCCCTATTCAAAAATAATCTTAAGTTTTTTTTTAAAAAAAAGATGAAAAACTTTTAAAAATGTCCGCGCGAAATTTTTAATTAAAAAGGAAAAACTTCCGGTCCGATAAAGCCGCGCACACAACAACAACAGCAACAACAACAAACAAAATAAGAAACGTTAATTATTTATTTAAAAAAAAATATCCAAGTAAAAACTTTTTTATTATTTCCCTTTTGTTATCATTTTTATCATTAGTACGCATTTAAATAAAATAAAAAAAATATTTACTTAATATTTTATTACTCTTTTAATAAATAAAATAAAAATTTTTTTTTTTTTTTAAATGAATGAAATTAATTAAGGGTATCGAAAAAAAAAAAAGAAAAAAAAATTTTTTTTAAATCCATGGGTAGAGAGACAAACGCATAATTTTTTACGCAACGTAATTAAAAAAAAAAAAAAAAAAAAAAAAAAAAAACTAGAAGAAGATGTGTACCACCATTTGCAAAAACAAAAACAACTCGAATTAATAAATTTATTATTATTATTATTATTAAGGTAAAATATAAATGACTTTGTAACGGTGGTGGTAGTGGCGGCGGTGGGGGCGAAGATGGCAAAGATTATTATATAGTAATGATTACACGACGTTGGGAATTTTTTTTTTTTTTTTTGTTAAAATTAATTTCTTTGTCGGATTATTATTATTATTATTATTAGTCTTAATAACGAGTTAACTCCAAAAACAAAACAAATCATAACAACAACAACAACAGCACAAAGAAAACCTTGGTCGATAAACACAAACACAAACAAACAAACAACACAAATCTCTGTCATTTAAAAAAAAAAAAAAAAAAAATTTCTTTGTAAAATTATACCAATTGGCAAATTCTTCCATTATCATCATCATCATTATTATTATTCTTTTGTACATGGCAAAAAATAGTGATGATGATGATGATGTTATTAAACCGAAGGCCGTTAATAACTTTAGTTACACATAACAATAATAATAATAATAATGAAAAAAAAAAAAAAAAAATTTAATTTAAAAATGTTTTTTACTCGACAAACAAACGAATCAAATCTCTTTTTTTGTTATTTTCCGACAAAAGGTTTGTCGTTGTTGTTGTTGTTGTTGTTGTCGCGTTAATAAAACTTACGAATTGTCTCCATTATTAAAAAATAATTATCATTATTATTATCATAATTATTGCGATTTAAAAATAAAAATAAATAAATCAATCGATTGATAAAATTATTACGAAAATAAATAAATATATTTATCGATTTTTATCGAACGCGTGGATTAATTTTTTTTTTTTTTAACTTTATAATAATAATAATAATAATAATAATAATAATAATAATAATAATAAACGATTTA